GAACCCAGATGGATTCGAGCAAAAATGAGGATAAAGCTAGTCGCTCGTCGGCGCCCCTCTGGGGTGCCAATCACGAATAGCCGTTGCCAAATTAAGAATCAATTCCACCTCTAGATGCCTGTAGCCTATTCGTAATAAAATTCAATATAAGCATACGATATATATATACCACTATCAACATCATCGAATGGTACCCTTAAAAGGTTTGCTGACAAAGAATTCCTATCAGGGAAATACGATGATCTAAACAGCTCCTAATGCATTATAAACTTGCTTGAACTATGAAAGATTATTAAACATTTGATATTCGATCCAGCGACAGCCGCTACCCTATTTGAATCAACTTTATTTATTTGTTTAGGATCTTAACCACTAATAACGTCGTTGTGGTACTCCTAAACGCTTTCGAAATACCAGTCACTCGTCAGTTGCTGGTCACTTAGTTTTACTTTTTCAAAAAGCTTGTATTCATTCTGTGCAATAGACCTATCTGCAACCCTATTTGTTTATCAAAACGGTGAAAAAATGTTTTTGAAAAACTACACTTAAAATCGAATGATTCCGCCTCAAAAACTTTGGGTCAAACTTTAAACGAAGTCATTTTTTTCCTAGAAAGCTGTCGTTTTCTCCCTAAAAAAGGTAGAAAGCGAAGCTTCAAAACCTGACCTCCGATTCGACTACCTCGAGCTCGATAGCATTTGATCAACCTTTACAAGGAAAACTATTTTCTCGAAAAAATACTTTCTTTAATTAAAAAGTTGAGAATCATAAATTCTGAAAATCTGACACCAGATTAGAGTTCCCGACCCTGATTACCTTCGGTGAAACCTATCACTACAGATATTGTTTGCGGGTTGTTAAGTTTATGTATCTGCTTTCCTATTGGACGAACGAGCGAACGGATTTAACTCGTTTTTCGTAATATCCTCCTTTCAGTAGAGGGAATAGCCATAATAATTTTTAAAGGTTGTAGTGATTGAGAGCACCACAAACTTCGGGTTTCAGATGATCATTATAACTGATTTTTTCTTAAAATCACAGGAGCGAACAATAAAAGACCTATAGTAATTTCTCTTTTATTGAAATTCTTGAAATAGATTGCATCCAAACGGTAAGTTTCATTTCAGAACACAAACCTAATATCAAAATTTCTTTTTTTTTTGTGTAGCTTTTTACAATTGTATCATTCCAAGGGTGATTCACATTGAAGAATCAACAGCTAGTATCAATATTTCTTTTTCTTTTAGATTCTTTCAATACATTTTGTTCAATCGGTAAATTATATGCAAGAATTAGAAATTATATTAAGTTTTTTATTGTTTGTTTTAGATTCTTCAAATAGATCTCAGCGAGTGCCTAAGTTACATATCAGTATTCGAGCTATAACGATACATCATTTTGATGTTTTCATGATAGAGGACATGGGTTCGACATCTGTGTGACTGCCGATATTTTTTAGATCCTGCATTGCCTTCCCAGGTTGGTGAGCTTTGAAATCTTTTTGCAGTTTCTGATATTGCTTTGTGAGAAAGTACTGTAACTATTTGTTTCGGTTCAGAAGACTTTGAACGCCAATATTTGGAAACTCTGAAAGGTTTTCAAACAGTGACAAAATCGGAAAGGCTCTAAAGTTTTCCCGGAACCACACTTTTTTTAGGAAATATATAAATAAGGGTATTGTTGTAAAGGTATAGGTATAAGAATATCGAAATATGGATACAGAGATAAGGGAAATCCCAACGGTAAACCATTTAAATCATGGAATACCTTATACGTAGGACAGAACCTTTTTTGAAGAAAAATCACATATGGTTTCGTTATTTCTTTACTGAACCTTTTTTCAGTCAGAACCTTTTCGAGGGTTCTGCGTTTTATCCGATACCAGAACCCCTAAAAGGGTTCTGTAAAACTCCTTTTTTCTTTCAGAGTAGCTGTACTCCTTCTGTACTTTCACTTTACTCCTACTCTTGTTCTAGAATCTTGCCTTTTGCCCTGGAAAAAGGAAGACATCTGTACATTCTAGTGTCAAATAAATGTGATCTAAATTCATGATGTATTCAGGTAGCCAAAAACTAAAACGCGAAAAAGATGTGCGTTATATCAGTTCTATGGAAGACTATTCCCTCGAAAAGGCTAATTTCAGATTGCATGATTATGATTGAAATAAGTTCTGATCGATATATGAGTTTATGATGCGTTGAATCATTAAATGATGAGCATTGAAAAACAATGAACCATAACAATGCCTCGAATTATACATCAAGAAAACGGCGTTTTATAAGAATTCTATTTCTTATTCTAATATCAATTGCTTTGCCTTTACATATCGCTGCAATGAAGGTTTTTACATATTCATTTTCTATTATTTCGAATAATAAATCCGTTTCAACAATAACACTTTCAAAAAAACAAGACAAAGAGTGTGTCGTATGCGTGAAAGAGCGTCCTGGTCGTCTTGGTAATAGAATGTTTATAGTCGCTAGTGCTTATGGTCTTGCTCGTCTTCACTCTTGTCATTTGTATTTAACACCAGAAATAATCAATGAAATGAAGCCATCATTCATTTTCGATCTTGCACCTTTTCTAATCTCAACAATAACATTCAACAAAATCGTTCAAGGTACTTCAAAATCAATAACTAGAACAAGTAAGGATATTGTTTGTCAATATATTCCTGAACTGACACGCCCAAATGCTATTTCTTCAGGATATATATTTGAATTAAAAGGCTACTGGCAATCATATCTTCATTTTACGAAATATGGCGATGACATTCGACAACTTGTGTTTGCTGCAACACAATCTGTAATTAAGAAAGTGTCACAATTATTCATTGACATTTATGAACTAAATATTGAGTACAAGCCTAAATTTTCATTAGAAAGTCATCAATTATTTAAAAAACAATTAGCCCAATCGAACTGGACAACATGGATTGGAATTCATATCCGGCGGTCAGACTTTGTTTCCATACAGTTTTCGTCGTCGGATACATATTTATTTGCTGCTATTGAATACTACACATTACATTATCCGAATGCCAACTTTATTGTTGCTAGTGATGATAAGCCCTATTGTAAAAATTTATTTCGTAATCGCTCAAATATTTTTCTTACGCCAGAATCATTTTCGGTGGATGATGATTTAATAACGCTTTCCCTGTGTGAACATTCCATCCTTACTGGTGGAACATTTGGATGGTGGGCAGGTTATCTCGCTAATGGCCAAGTGCTTCATGACAACGTTTATCCATCTGGATGTGAGAGACGTGAATATTACTATCCACCATGGTTTCTCATAGATGGAAACGTACGAGCACATAAAAACAGTAGTTATACTCTGTGAAGGAAAAATAAAAATGATTTTCTCAAAAGAATAAAACGGGTGATAATACCATCTAGCTGTTTTGCTACACTACAGTTTTTTGTGACCCTAGGGAAAATCTTTGATGTTTCAGCGCCAGGTCCTTGACAGATATAGTCAGGATTTTGCAAGGATTCAATATTTTTTCCTGAGGAAACGGCTAAATCCTGAAAGAAGTGTGTAGCCACGGAAATTTAGGATCTTGACAGGATTCGAATCAAGATTTTCAAGGATCCTGACAAGTTCACCATTGTTTTGTGGAACTCACATATATTTTCGAAGAAAATGGTGAGTGTAAGTTTAAAGGTGAGATTTTTGCGGCTCCCCACCCCCCCTCCTG